GGAGGTGGGTCAAAATAGATCTTGCTGTGATTTATGTCAAAGAGTGTTCTTCCTATATTTTCCTCTAAGAGTTTTATAGTGTCTGGTCTTACATTTAGGTCTCGAATCCATTTTGAGTTTATTTTTGTGTATGGTGTTAGGGAGTGTTGTAATTTCATTCATTCTAATTTCATTTTACATGTAGCTGTCAAGTTCTTCCAGCACCACCTATTGGAGACTGTCTTTTCTCCGTTGTATATCCTTGCCTCCTTTGTCATAGATTAGTTGACCATAGGTGCGTGGGTTTGTCTCTGTGCTTTCTATCTTGTTCCATTGATCTATGTTTCTGTTTTTGTGCCAGTACCATATTGTCTTGATTACTGCAGCTTTGTAGTATAGTATGAAGTCAGGGAGTCTGATTCCTCCAGCTCTGTTTTTTTCCCTCAAGACTGCTTTGGCTCTTCGGGGTCTTTTGTGTCTCCATACAAGTTTTAAGATTTTTTGTTCTAGTTCTGTAAAAAATGTCATTGGTAATTTGATAGGGATTGCATTGAATCTGTAGATTGCTTTGGGTAGTATAGTCATTTTCACAGTATTGATTCTTCCAATCCAAGAACATGGTATATCTCTCCATCTGTTGGTATCATCTTTAATTTCTTTCATCAGTGTCTTATAGTGTTCTGCATACAGGTCTTTTGTCTCCCTAGGTAGGTGTATTCCTAGGTATTTTATTCTTTTTGTTGCAATGGTAAATGGGAGTGTTTCCTTAATTTCTCTTTCAGATTTTTCATCATTAGTGTATAGGAATGCAAGAGATTTCTGTGCATTAATTTTGTATCCTGCCACTTTACCAAATTCATTGATTAGCTCTAGTAGTTTTCTGGTGGCACCTTTAGGATTCTGTATGTATAGTATCATGTCATCTGCAAACAGTGACAGTCTTTCTTTTCCTATTTGGATTCCTTTTATTTATTTTTCTTCTCTGATTGCCGTGGCTAGGACTTCCAAAACTATATTGAATAATAGTGGTGAGAGTGGACATCCTTGCCTTGTTCCTGATGTTAGAGGAAATGGTTTCAGTTTTTCATCATTGAGAATGATGTTTGCTGTGGGTTTGTCATATATGGCCTTTATTATGTTGAGGTAGGTTCCCTCTATGCCCATTTTCTGGAGAGATTTTATCATAAATGGGTGTTGAATTTTGTCAAAAGCTTTCTCTGCATCTATTGAGAAGATCATATGGTTTTTCTTCTTCAATTTGTTAATATGGTATATCACATTGATTGATTTGCGTATATTGAAGAATCCTTGCATCCCTGGGATAAATCCCACTTGATCATGGTGTATGATCCTTTTAATGTGTTGTTGGATTCTGTTTGCTACTATTTTGTTGAGGATATTTGCATCTATATTCATCAGTGATATTGGTCTGTAATTTTCTTTTTTTTGTAGAATCTTTGGTTTTGGTATCAGGGTGATAGTGGCCTCATAGAATGAGTTTGGGAGTGTTCCTTCCTCTGCAATTTTTTGGAAGAGTTTGAAAAGGATAGGTGTTAGCTCTTCTCTAAATGTTTGATAGAATTCACCTGTGAAGCCATCTGGTCCTGGACTTTTGTTTATTGGAAGATTTTTAATCACAGTTTCAATTTCATTACTTGTGATTGGTCTGTTCATATTTTCTGTTTCTTCCTTGTTCAGTCTTGGAAGGTTATACCTTTCTACGAATTTGTCCTTTTCTTCCAGGTTATCCATTTTGTTGGCATAGAGTTGCTTGTAGTAGTCTCTAGCATGCTTTGTATTTCTATGGTGTCTGTTGTAACTTCTCCTTTTTTATTTCTAATTTTATTGATTTGAGTCCTCTCCGTCTTTTTCTTGATGAGTCTGGCTAGTGGTTTATCAACTTTGTTTATCTTCTCAAAGAACCAGCTTTTAGGGCTTCCCTGGTGGCGCCGTGGTTGAGAGTCTGCCTGCCGATGCAGGGGACGCGGGTTTGTGCCCCAGTCCGGGAAGATCCCACATGCCGCGAAGCAGCTGGGCCCACGAGCCATGGCCGCTGAGCCTGCGCATCCGGAGCCTGTGCTCCGCAATGGGAGAGGCCACAGCAGTAAGAGGCCTGTGTACCTCAAAAAAAAAAAAAAAAAGAACCAGCTTTTAGTTTTATTGATCTTTGCTCTTGTTTTCTTTGTTTCTATTTCATTTATTTCTGCTTTGATCTTTATGATTTCTTTCCTTCTGCTAACTTTGGGTTTTGTTTGTTCTTTCTCTAGTTCCTTTAGGTGAAAGTTTAGATTGTTTACTTGAGATTTTTCTTGTTTCTTGAGGTAGGCTTGTATAGCTATAAACTTCCCTCTTAGAACTGCTTTTGCTGCATCCCATAGCTTTTGGATCGTAGTGTTTTAATTGTCATTTGTCTCTAGGTATTTTTTGATTTCCTCTTTGATTTCTTCAGTGATCTCTTGGTTATTTAGTAATGTATTGTTAGCCTCCATGTGTTCGTGTTTTTTACGTTTTTTTCCCTGTAATTCATTTCTAATCTCATAGCCTTGTGGTCCGAAAAGATGCTTGATATGATTTCAATTTTCTTAAATTTACTCACGCTTGATTTGTGACCCAAGATGTGATCTATCTTGGAGAATGTTCTGTGCGCTCTTGAGAAGAAAGTGTAATCTGGTTTTGGATGGAGTGTCCTATAAATATCAATTAAATCTATCTGGTCTATTGTGTCATTTAAAGCTTCTGTTGCCTTATTTATTTTCATTTTGTATTATCTGTCCATTGGTGTAAGTGAGGAGTTAAGGTGCCCCACTATTATTGTGTTACTGTCGATTTCCTCTTTTATAGCTGTTAGCAGTTGCCATATGTATTCAGGTGCTTCTATGTTGGGTGCATATATATTTATAATTGTTACATCTTCTTCTTGGATTGATCCCTTGATCATTTTGTAGTGTCCTTCTTTGTCTCTTTATTTATAAACTTCCTTTATTTTAAAGTCTATTTTATCTGATATGAGTATTGCTACTCCAGCTTTCTTTTGATTTCCATTTGCATGGAATATCTTTTTCCATCCCCTCACTTTCAGTCTGTATGTGTCCCTAGGTCTGACGTGGGTCTCTTGTAGCCAGCATATACATGGGTCTTGTTTTTGTATCCATTCAGCGAGCCTGTGTCTTTTGGTTGGAGCATTTAATCCATTCACGTTTAAGGTAATTATCAATATGTATGTTCCTGTGACCATTTTCTTAATTGTTTTGGGTTTGTTTTTGTAGGTTCTTTTCTTCACTTGTGTTTCCCACTTAGAGAAGTTCCTTTAGCATTTGTTGTAGAGCTGGTTTTGTGGTGCTGAATTCTCTTAGCTGTTGCTTGTCTGTAAAGCTTTTGATTTCTCCATTGAATCTGAATGAGATCCTTGCTGGGTAGAGTAATCTTGGTTGTAGGTGCTTCCCTTTCATCACTTTAAGTATATCATGCCACTCCTTTCTGGCTTGTAGAGTTTCTGCTGAGAAATCAGCTGTTAACCTTATGGGGAGTTCCCTTGTATGTTATTTGTCATTTTTCTCTTGCTGCTTTCAATAATTTTTCTTTGTCTTTGATTTTTTCCAATTTGATTACTGTGTGTCTCGGTGTGTTTCTCCTTGGGTTTATCCTGTATGGGACTCTCTGCGCTTCCTGGACTTGGGTGGCTATTTCCTTTCCTATGTTAGGGAAGTTTTCGACTATAATGTCTTCAAATATTTTGTCGGGTTCTTTCTTCTCCTTCTGGGACCCCTATAATGCGAATGTTTTTGCATTTAATGTTGTCCCAGAGGTCTCCTAGGCTGTCTTCATTTCTTTTCATTCTTTTTTCTTTAGTCTGTTTTGCAGCAGTGAATTCCACCCTTCTGTCTTCCAGGTCACTTATCCATTCTTCTGCCTCAGTTATTCTGCTATTGATTCCTTCTAGTGTAGTTTTCATTTCATTTATTGTATTGTTCATCTCTGTTTATTTGTTCTTTAATTCTTCTAAGTCTTTGTTAAACATTTCTTGCATCTTCTCGATCTTTGCCTCCATTCTTTTTTCCAGGGTCCTGGATCATCTTCACTATCATTACTCTGAATTCTTTTTCTAGAAGGTTGCCTATCTCCACTTCATTTAGTTATTTTTCTGAGGTTTTATCTTGTTCCTTCATCTGGTACATAGCCCTCTGCCTTTTCATCTTGTCTATCTTTCTGTGGATGTGGTTTTTGTTCCACAGGCTGCAGGATTGTAGTTCTTCTTGCTTCTGCTGTCTGCCCTCTGGTGGATGAGGCTATCTAAGAGGCTTGTGCAAGTTTCCTGATGGGAGGGACTGGTGGTGGGTAGAGCTGAGTGTTGCTGTGGTGGGCAGAGCTCAGTAAAACTTTAATCCGTTTGACTGCTGATGGGTGGGCCTGGGTACCCTCACTGTTGGTTGTTTGGCCTGAGGCCACCCAACACTGGAGCCTACCTGGGCTCTTTGGTGGGGCTAATGGAAGACTCTGGGAGGGCTCACACCAAGGAGTACTTCCCAGAATTTCTGCTGCCAGTGTCCTTGTCCCCATGGTGAGCCACAGCCTCCCCTGCCTCTGCAGGAGACCCTCCAACCCTAGCAGGTAGGTCTGGTTCAGTCTCCTCCGAGGTCACTGCTCCTTCCCCTGGGTCCCGATGCTCACACTACTTTGTGTGTGCCCTCCAAGAGTGGAGTCTCTGTTTCTCCCAGTCCTGTTGAAGTCCTGCAATCATATTCCACTAGCCTTCAAAGTGTGATTCTCTAGGTATTCCTCCTCCTGTTGCCGGACCCCCAGCTTGGGAAGCCTGATGTGGGGCTCAGAACCTTCACTCCACTGGGTGGACTTCTGTGGTATAAGTGTTCTCCAGTCTGTGAATCACCCACCAGCATTTATGGGATTTGATTTTACTGTGATTGCGCCCCTCCTACCGTCTCACTGTGGCTTCTCCTTTGTTTTTGGATGTGGGGTATCTTTTTGGTGAGTTCCAGTGTCTTCCTGCCGATGATTGTCCAGCAGCTAGTTGTGATTCTGGTGTTCTCGCAAGAGGGAGTGAGAGTACGTCCTTCTACTCTGCCATCTTGGTTCAGGCAAGACTGGTAGTTCTGAGAATGCTCTTATACCTTCATTTAATTTCTAGATAGCAATTTCCTCTCAGACAAGAGCTGTGAAAGCTTAGAGCACTCTCCCAGGGTGTACTTTTTCTATTCCAAGTCTGTCTTAGACAAACTAGAGCTGGTAGATGGATGACTACTCTGGTTACAGCTGCGAGGGGAAGCTCAGCTGGTTATTTTAGGCACATTTCCTATTAATATATATTTATTTTTAATTCTGAAGGAATATGGAAGAAATTTCTGTTGTGTTCTTTGGAAGACAACCAGGAGCCTTTACATATTGATAAGTTATTCCACAGTTTACAGTATCAGAGACCTGATTAAGCCCTGTGTTTGTCTCTGACCTTTGGCTCAAATGTTCATTTTGTTCTACTTCTGAGGCTTGAGATATGGATCTGAGACCCATGTTAAATGAGACTTTCAGAAAAGTTTATTTATTAGGGAGAATATGGAAGGCAGCGAATCAATGAGGGGAGAGGTCTACAAGTTCACTAGGGGTAGCTCTCTGTCACTAAGAACACATCTAAGGAGGGGTGAGTTGCAAGAGAAGGATTTTCTCAATGGGATAAAAAAAAAGGTACTTCTTTCATGTCTGAGTCCACTCAGCATTTTCCATCATGCAGAAATTAATTTTTCCCTGAGATTTCCTGAAGGAAGAATCAGAATAAATATTTCATTAATATAATGTCAGAGCTACAAAAATACTTGCAAAATTATCTATCACCCTTATTTTATATTTGAGGAAACTAAGAGCATAAAGGACGTTGATTACAGACAAAAGCCAGGTTATTGGATTTCCTACCCTGTTATCCTTCCTTCCATGATTCCAAGATGCCACTGAAGATATTATGACCTATATTATAAGCTCTTTGAAAATAAGTTACTTAATCAGGCCTCAGCTTATGATATATGAGGCATATCAGTCCTCATCTTACTCTGTCAATACTCTTACACTTTGGCTGAATTCCTCATTAGTGGGGGTGGCCTGAGGTTTACACATTCCTGTCTCATTGCTCTTTGTGAAAATTACAAAATGATCATTGGGTGGAGGGCTTCAGTCTGGTGCCACGGGGAGAGTTTTTCTCCCTGTGAACTTCACTGTCTTATACAGAGATCAACCCTGAAGCCACAGTTTAGTGAGACTTAGTGTCTAATCACTGATAATCATGTCACATAAATCCAAAAACTAAACTAGCCAGAGGACCCAAACTTTATAGTCACCTACCCTAGCTCAGAGTTTCAGACACATATGAAGTTGAAGATATCTGAGAGAAGGCAAAAGTATAGTTTGTTTTAAAATCAAAGAATTTTAAGGACTCAAAGGGATATTTAAAGCTTCAAGTGAAAAAAAATCTATCAATTGGCATATGGGAATGAGAAGGCTGAGAGAAGAAAGGGCCTAGCAAACACTACTGAGTACAGCGAATCTTTCTACTCCAGTGGGCTTTGTATTGCCACATGTTCTCCTGAGCAGGGACTGATTATTATCTGAGCAAACTGGAGCAAATTCCTGGCTTCAAGGCTGTTGTACTTGGTAGAAGAGGTAATCACCTTGCACTAAGCTTTTTCATTGTTCTCTTCTTTTCTCCCAGTATTACTCACATGCTCTCAACACACAAGATGCAGGGATTTTCATAGGTTACCAAATTGTTGCCACAGATGGGTTGATATATACCAGGGCAGGGGTTCACTGTTCCATTGAACCAACTCAATCTACTTTCTTATATGGACATTTCACCTGAAATTGAGTTGAAAAGAATGATATGATTAGAATTACACTCACAGACACCCCTGGACTTTACTAGGAAAATCTAAACATAGAATCATATCCTAGTCTGACAAAAGCTCTCTAGCTTCCCCCTCCACAAAGCAAGGGAACCAGAACCCACGTATGTCCATCAGCTAACAACGTATGTGATGCCCTTGTTGTCAGGACCTCCTGACAGGAAGAGAGAAAGGAGGCTTGCTATGCTATAGTGGGAAAAGGAAGAGTGAGTTAACAGGACAGATTTGGGAAATTTAGCTTCTCTCTCAATCTCCTTCATTCTCAGACTATTTGACCTGGAATTAGTCTTAGAGATTTTCTGTGGTAACTCAGCTAAGGAAACTGAAGCCCCATAATTGGAAAAGATGTTTCACTGAAATCTATATGCCTTGACTTAAAATATTTATCACATCTTATCTACTAAAAATATCTCCAGGCTAACTCTTATCTTGAAGGTGTGAAACATGAGATCATTTAGAGTAACTTCCTGATTTTGTAGGGAAAACTGAAAACAAAGGAAGGGGCATGTCTCAGTGGGACCAGAACCCATGTCTGCTTGCAATGTTGGTATCAGTGTATGGCTTGAGAGCAGTGACTCTGGGATGATTGAGCTTGACGATGATAGTCTCAGGGGCTCTATGATTACCATAAGATAGGTAGATAAAGTACCTCTAATACAAGGTGGGTAGGAGTTTGGGCTATTTAGAGAAAGAGGGATCATATTTGAGCTCTTCTCCCTTCTTCCCTTATCCAACACCAGCACCATGGCCAGGCCACCACCATCTGTCTGTCACCCAACTACTCCCTCCACTTTCTCCTTTCTTCTGTAGCCTCTAATTTCTGTAATTTAAACATCCATTGAATCATATTATTCCTGTACTTATGCTCTTTTAATTGTATTTCACTGCACATAAAAAATTTCTTCTTAGTATAAGCTAAAAGACCCTATGTGATCTGTACCCTTCTGACTTTTCCAGCCTTGCCTTATACCACCTTGCTCTTTGCCATTTTCCATGGGTTTTTTTTGTCTTTTTAAAAATTTTGTTTTGTTTTTGCTTCAAGTGCTCCATAGTCCCTCCATCTCAGAGTCTTGTGGTTTGTCACGACCACCCCATCAAATGTATTGTCTTTTTGTTGAACCTAAACTCATTCTGCCTTCAGAGCTCAAGTTATGACCTACTTTCTCAGAGAGTTCCCAAAATACAATCCCAACTTTCCATTCCTTTTTAAGTACCTCTAATCAGTGTGTAATAAAGCATTTATACAATTATTTGACTAATTCCACACTCCAAAGAATTATAAGCCCATAAGGGTAAGGTCTGTTTCTGATTAGACTAACCTTTGTGTGTCCAGCACATATACTGGCACTTAGTCTTGCTCTATAAATATATGCAAAATGAATAAGATTTTAAATAGTTCAAACTGAATGAATATAGTCAAATAATAGCAAGAGTAATTAGTATCATCTTTAAATATAGCTTTTCTTTCTCTTTAGAGTAGGATGTATATTCATCGGGTGAGTAGGCTATGTATTCATCTGCTGTGTAACTATAACATCTGCTGCACCCTCTCCTTCCCTCTCTGTGTTCCAGTCACACAGGTCTTTAATCAGTGACTCAAGTAGGTAAATCTTCCTCACTGCTCTCCATCTGGGTGGCTCCTCCTCACCCTTCACATCTCAGATATCCCCATGCCCAAGAAGCCTTCACTGACCACATTGTTGATAGTAGTATCTCTACTTTCAAAAGATATTCTCTATTGTACCATCCTATTTCTTTTATTTATAGAATTATTTATAGAATTTACTATAAAAACAGTCACTCTCTTCGTTTTTTCTGGATATTTTTGTAAGCTTCATGAGAAAATAAGTAAGAATGAGTAAGGTTATTTTTGTTTATAAATTTATGGACAAGTGGAGGACTACTCTTGCAGGCAACCTTCTTAAGAGGAAAACTCTAGGACTCAACTCTATGAGACTAGAGTATAAATCCTGGACAAATTCTATAGACTTTTTTGCTGGAGCTATAACCTCTGACAGGTTCTACACTCTGATCTCTGCGTCCCTTGAAGGCCAAGCTGCCCTCAAAACATCTTTCTCACCAGTCAACTCATGAATACATTTTTTTAAGAAGTAAAATTTAAAATTTACTAATGAGAGAAAAGCTTAAAGTGCAAGTGCTCCTGAAGTAAAGGACTACAGTGATGCAAATCCACATCAAAAAACCAAAACAATCTTTCATTTCACTATTTCCCCCATTTATTAAACATTTATTTTACCCCACAATATATTCAGTGCTCAGAGGTATAGCTGAAAATGAAAAAGGTGTCTCTGTCACTTTGCCCTCATACGATTTGGAAACAGAATTTGAGGCTCTGTTCAGAGATTTCCTGTTCCTTCACATTTCCTCAGTCTATATCTTAGAGTTGACGTTTGCCATTCACAACTCCCATAGGCATTCTCTGCGTATCACAGGGCAGTTAGGAGCATTCTTTCCACCAAACTGTGAGCCCCTCCAGAGCAGAAACCATGTTATGCCCAAGTCTGTGGGCATATAAGAACCTGCCCTGCCCCCTGGCAACCACCAGTGTCCATAAACATTCTCCAGGCACTACCGAGGGCTCTGTGGTATACCTATGACCAAAATCTCAGCTTGGGTCCCAGTTTGGATTACTCTCCTCTGAGCTCCTATACCTACAGTGTACCTGCCACATTCATGTGACATTGAAGAACATCACTTGCCTCAGTAAGGTTCTAAAATAGTAATTCCAAAGAAAACTCAGAGTCTCGTTCCCAGGAAATTTAGAGGAAAATTACCTTAATATTTCCATGTGGTGGCCACCAGTGTGGAGGGCCTGAAACCATAACAAATGAAAATAGTTAAAGAATCTAGTATCTGGTAAGTCATAGCTTAATTTGTTGACAGAATAAAAGAGTTCTATGTAGTACCAAGAAAGCTTGCAATAATTGAAAACATTATTTCATTTATACATATATTCATTCATTTTTTAAAATGTGGGGTAACTCTTTTACTCCTGGTAGATAATCAGCAGAAGACTATATAGGTGCATCACTGGCAGTCCAGTGTACCAAATAATTTTTTGATTAACAGTAATTAGCCTGGGCTTGAGAGGATTCAGAGCTGACAGCCAATATATGAAAGAAATTAAGAAATGCTAGAACTTTAAAGAGATCTTTTAACCCAATCCCAATATCTTATGAAATGCCCAAGAATTCATGGCAGATATGTAAGAAAACTAAGCTCTTCAGTCTTTGAAGCTAGGTCGCTCTACATGACTTCTCTAAAAAAGGACACAAAAGATAATGACCCAGTCAAATATATGGCAGAGCATTTTCAAAAGTTCTGAATTTTTGTGATGCACTGTCTTGGAGGCATATTGCCAGTCACTTTCACACGTTACCTCACCCAGTCACCCAAGCCCCTGGTCCCCACGAGTTAGGTCTTATAGTCTGCATTAATAGATGGGAAAGCTAAGGCCCCTGCCCATTGGCCCAGAGCCTTTTATTTATTTATTTTTTTTGATCACACTCCATTGTCTGTCTCTCTATATATACAGATATATAATACAGTAAAATGATACACTTAATAAAATATATATACACAAAAATCTCAAAGCATTCTCTTCTAGATTATCATGTCACAGCCCAGCAATCAACCTTACATCCCTGCGCAAAACAGCTACATTACTCACCAGAAGGTAACGTCAAATGTATCACGATAAAGAACAGAAGTGAGCAGAGTACTGGGAAGGATTTGGCCACTTTTCCTCCTGGCGTGTCCTTAGAATAATTCTCTGAGATACTGCTTCAGGATGTTGCCTTTTGATACAATCACAAAAGAAGAGGTTATCAGGATATTAAGACCACTTCTGAAGTGAATATTCATCTCCAGTATACGTATTGTATGCTCCTTCTCCGAGAACAAATGCTCAGGAATAAACTTTGGTTAGTTATAAATAAATGTATAGATCTCAGTGACAGACCTGTGACTACTTAGAAGACAGAAGTAAATCAGAGGTTACTGTTTGGGAATAACTGTATTATGTTAGGATGGAGATATTTTAAGTGTCTTGAAAAGGCACCTTACCTGATGATTCTCTCAAAATTTTTTTATTTGAAAGGATACAAAGAAAATGATGAGGCTGCTAGAGGCTTCTAGACAACAAGGGCTTCTCAATAGAGGAAGCAGGTCTGTACTTGGTCATGAAGCAGGGATTGCCTCTTGAGATTAAGACAATGATTTCTAATACTCCAGGCCTACTTGGCTGTGCTGAGAATCTTCTGACTCGGAAAGCTAAACCCTCTTGGAGCATTCTGAGAGACTGCATAGGGAGAAAAAAAGAAATACTCTATCTCACAGGAGTTCCCAAGGTATTTCATCCAGAATTCAGTGAGCAAATTCAGTGAGCAGATCCTCCCTTGGGATTGCCTTTCCTTGTAGCAGCCTTTCTGACCCTAAAGAATGGTATATGGAGGTTCCAGGTCCTGACCAAGGACCACATTGAACTCTCCCTGTCTTCCTGTTCCTGCAAAAGTGACCTGGTCCTCCCTATGTCCTAGAGACCTTTTTCTCTGCTCTGTAGCATATGTTGATAGGTAATGTACATGAACTTGCCTTTATGCTATGGTGTGATATTTGTTATCTGAGACACTGAGATGTTTCCACAGTGCTCCACTCTCCAGGATGTCTGGAGGCTCCTGGCACAATGTCCAGAGCTGTCTGCTCGGCCCGCTCCTGAGACAGTCTATGACTCCATGTTTTTCTAAATACATCCCCATCTCTTCCTGACATCTTGCCTGGATTACTTTAGGAATGGAGCTTCAACAGTGGAAGATCCAGCTGTATCAGAACACAATGCCAGATGCCCACTCTCCCTACCACGTGTACCCAGGTTGACTCACCTCAGAAAGGAAGTGAGATGTAATGTAATTCTTTGTGGCTGGTGCCTCTCCTTTAAGGAGCATGTGTTAGAGCCTCAAGAGGGGATAGAATAGCTGTGTAGGAGAGGGAAGACACTGATGCATTGTGTGCTGGGCTGAGCAGGCCCTGGGAGGCCAAACATTTAGGATGAGTCAAAGACAAACTCAGCAGGAGGTGTTGGGGAAGGGAGTACAGAGATGCCTACAAGACTTGGGTGGTGGGAACGGATCGCTGGCCAGGGCAGCCCTGGGTGGGCAATCCAAAGAGGCAATAGCAGAAGAAACATACCACAGTAGGAGAGAGCATAGAAGTATCGAATGTTCCACAACAATAATTAGTGCCTTTGGCCAGAATGAAAAATGTGGAAACAGCTGAGGAAGAGAGGAGGTTGCAGTGACAGATGAAGTCTGTGGATGCCATTTGCAGTGGGTCCAGCCTTGTCCTGTAGCAATCCAAACCTTTGCAGCTTTGTAACAAGGAAGATACCTTATCAGAGCTGGGTTTCCTCCTAATTTCTGAACTTCCTGCCTCTATGTTACATTTTTTAAAAAGCAATTCTTCTTATGTCAAGGAAATACAAGTTTAGAAAATTCAAAAAGTAGAAATATTAGAAAAGAAATAAAAAGACAAGAAACCTCAAAACCCATAGATAACTGTGAAACATAAACTGTATTGAATTATATCATTCCAGTTTTTTAAAAAAAATCTATATATACATACACAGAAATGAACACATATACATGTTCTTGTCATATTTGATCAAATTTGTGTAGTATATATTGTTTTACACTTTTTTGACTTAGAAATGTACTGTGACATTTTCTTGATCTTTAAATATAGTCATAGAGAACATGAATTTAGATGCCTAGTGTCATATTCTATCACATATATGGATTTTTATTATATTAATATTCTTCCATAGTTGCTCAATTAGGCTGATTTCAATTTCATTATTCTTAACAATACTGGAATGAACAAATTTTTATTTACCTCAGTTAATTTGTCTCATTACTTCATTTCAATAAAAGCCTAAAAACAGACCTACTGGAAACTTCCAGAAAGGACCTGGGTCACTTAGAATATGAAAGAAGTGGTTTTCATCCAACCTGTGGGCTCTGTAAGTCTAATATGGAACAATTTGAAAATACCCTGTCATCTTCCTAAGTAAATCAGTCATCTCCCAGTTCAGAGAGGTAGAGGCATCCCATTGTTTAGGAAGGATTCTGGACATAAAAGCAAAAGATCAAGTTACAATATTTTTGTCAACTTGAAAAGTAATTTTTCCTCTCTGGACGGAATTTTCCCATTTTCACAATGGGGTAATCAAACCTTCCTTAAGGAACTCTTTGGAGGTTTAAGTGAGCTAACATTTAAACAGCTTGGAAAACTGCCTGCCTCCGCTACTGATATGGGCTTTATAGGCTCAGAGCCACAGATTGATTGCATTGTATGAGTATTCAAAGGTAATAATGAGCGTGAAATTACTTCCCACCTGATAATAAATAATTTACATTTTTCTCAACTTTGCTTTGTCACAAATTTTGTTATTAGCAGGGTATCACTGGTTAAATGAGTTCCCGTAGGCCTTCTACTGTTTGGGATTCTGGTTTGTCAGGAGTTGTGTGGGCACTGGAAATACAGCCGTGAAAAAGAATGGCATATTCTTGACCTTAATGGAGCTTATACCTTGGCAGGAGAATATTATTAAACAAATAATTACTCGTGGAAGGCAGACTTGAAGAAGCAGATTTTAACATTTGAGTTTCCTGACTCTTGTGACATTCCAGTATGAATCATGGCCCCTCTGATACCCATCCATAACAGCAATGAGAAATAAAACAATAATTTCCACAGATCCAATATCTTGACTCGGTAAAAGTGAAGCAGACCTTCCTAAGATAAAAGGAATTGCATATTATCAATATGTGACCCTGTTTAATAGCTGCAAAAATAAGATAACAGAGAGAGGTCTACAAACAGTATTTAATCCTGTAGATTAAATACATAGAGGAAAATACATAGAAGAAAAAGAAAAACATAGGAAAAAATCAAGCTAAAATAGTTTTAGCTTTTCCAAATTCCAGTTGAACTAATATTGGGAGAAGAGAGTAAATAAGACTGAGGGATCCCATCTTCCTCAAAGAATCCTTAGTCTTTGACTTCTTCATCATCTCTCATACCCATGGTTGAATTCCAGAAGCTACAATTTGGGGCTTTGTTCCTAGATGTCAGGCCCTATTCCTAGCTATGAAATAATTCAGTTTGTATGTTCCAGTGTCACCTCAAACGAATATTTTAAAAAGCCAATTCCTCACTGTACAGTCCAAAGCAGATTCTTTTTTTTTAAGTTTATTTTTTTATTGAAGTATAGTTAATTTACAATGTTGTGTTAGTTTCAGGTGTACAGCAAAGTGATTCAGTTATATATATATATATATATATATTATAATACATATATATATTCTTTTTCAGGTTCTTTTCCATTATAGGTTATTACAAGTTATTGAATATTGTTCCCTGTGCTATACAGTGGGTCCTTGTTGTTTATCTGTTTCGTATACAGCAGTGTGTATCTGTTAATCTGAAACTCCTAATTTATCCCTCCCCCACCCTTTCCCCTTTGGTAACCGTAAGTTTGTTTTCTGTGTCTGTTTCTGTTTTTTAAACAAGTTCATTTGTATCATTTTTTTTTTTAGATTCCATGTGCAAGTGATATTATGTGATATTTATCTTTCTCTACCTGACTTCACTTGATATGATAATCTCTAGGTACATCCATGTTGCTGCAAATGGTATTACTTTATTAATTTTTATGGCTGAGTAGTATTGCATTGTACACATGTACCACATTTTCTTTATCCATTCATCTGTCAATGGACCTTTAGATTGTTTCCATATTTTGGCTATTGTGAATAGTGCTACTGTGAACTTAGGAGTGCATGTATCTTTTTGAATTGTAGTTTTGTCCAGATATATGCCCAGAAGTGGGATTGCTGGATCATATGGTAGCTCTATTTTTAGTTTTTTAAGGACCCTCCATACTGTTCTCTGTAGTCGCTGCACCAGTTTGCATCCCCACCAACAGTGTAGGAGGGTTCTCTTTTCTCCACACCCTCTCCAGCATTTTAATGATGGCCATTCTGACTTGTGTGAGGTGATAGCTCATTGTAGTTTTGATTTGCATTTCGCTAATAATTAGCAACGTTGAGCATCTTTTCACGTGCCTGTTGGTTATCTCTACGTCTTCTTTGGAGAAATGTCTGTTTAGGTCATCTGCCCATCTTTTGATTGAGTTGTTTTCTTTTTTTGTTTTGTTTTTGATATTGAGCTGTATGAGCTGTTTGTGTATTTTGGAAATTAATCCCTTGTCAGTAGCATCATTTGCAAATATTTTCTCCCATTTTGCAGGTTGTCTTTTCATTTTGTTTATAGTTTTCTTTGCCATGCAGAAGCTTTTAAGTTTAATTAGGTCCCATTCATTTATTTTTACTTTTATTTTCATTACTCTAGGAGATGGGTCCAAAAACATATTACTGCAATTTATGTCAAAGTGTGTTCTGCCTATGTTTTCCTCCAAGAGTTTTATAGTATCCAGTCTTACATTTAGGTCTTTAATCCATGTTGAGTTTATTTTTGTATATGATGTTAGAGAATGTTCTAATTTTTTTCTTTTACATGTAGCTGTCCAATTTTCCCAGTGTCACTCAGTGAAGAGACTGTCTTTTCTCCATTGTACATTCTTGACTCATTTGCTGAAGGTTAATTGACCATAGGTGTGTGGCCAAAGCAGATTCTTACCACCATTAGGGATGTGGAAATCCTTCACAGGATTTTACCTAAGACTGCATGTTCTCCAGTAGAAAGGAAAGTCAATTCCACTGCCCAAACCGTAGAACTTTCACAGTCTAGTCCATTCTTTAACCAATTATCACTCCACCACAGTACTAATCTGCCATTCTTTAGGTCCTCAGAGCTGTTTCTCCATCACAGGAAAGCCACCATACAAGTGATCGGTCCCACCCTGGACCATAGGGGAAAGTCTTTCCCTTCTCAGGGTTTTTTATTGAAGCCACAGGACAACATTGTCCAGACTTGCATATCTGCCTAGGAAAATTTTGTTTAGACAAAAGCAGAGTTTATGTAAGTAAACTCACTTTTTCAATTTATAGGTTAAAAAAGAAAATTATGTAATTATTGTATAATTACATATATTTTTAAAACATAGGTTATATAATGTACTCTACAATATATCCACTCTACAATATGTAGACTTTGTCATTGTTGTTGTTTATAGTTAAGCAAATTATTTATTATTACAGGGTCAACACCCATGTGCCCACCATTCCAGTCATGAGCTAGCATGACCATCATCCTAAAGGTCTCGTATGTGTTACTGCCTGAATATTTATAATCCCCCAGAATTCATATGTTGTAGTCAATCCTCAGTGTGATGGTATTAGGAGGTAGAACTCTTCAGAGATGATTAGGTCGTGAAGGCATAGCCCTCATGAATGGCATTAGTGCCCTTATGAAACAGTGTCCGGAGAGCAACCTTGCCCCTTCTACCATGGGAAGACACAGCAAGAAGATAGTAGACTGTGAACCTGAAAGTGGGCTCTTACCTAGCACCAGATCTTCTGGTGCCTTGATCTTGGACTTCTAGAACTGTGAGAATATAAATTCCTATTGTTTAAGTCACCCAATCTGTGGTATAGACAGTTCCCTACTTATGATGGTTCAAATAACAATTTTTTGACTTTATGGTGATGTGAAAGCAATATGCATTTAGTAGAAACTGTACTTTGAAATTTGATCTTTCCCTGAGCTAGTGATAAGCAGTACAATACTCTCTTGTGATGCTGAGCAGTGAGCCACAGCACCCAAGTCAGCCATACAGTCACCAGGGTAAACAATCCGTATGTTGACAACCATTCTGTACCCATACAACCATTCTGTTTTTCACTTTTTCAGTATTCAATAAATTACATGAGATATTCAACACCTTATTACTTTATAAAATAGGCTGTGTGTTATATGATTTTGCCCAACTGTAGGCTAATGTAAGTGTTCTGAGCACATTTAAGGTAGGCGAGGCTGGTACGTTAGGTGCATGTATGATATTTTCAATTTATGATGGGTTTATCAGGATATAACCCCATCCTAAATGGAGGAAGATCTGAATTTTGTTATGGCAGCCTGGCATACTAATACACTAGCTCATTATATGACTAACAGCACCCTCACTCACCCTCCACATTGTTGCCAGAGTGATATTTTTAGAAACCAAATCTGATCTTGTTCAAATATTTAACTGATTCCATCAACAGAAAGCCCCCTCATGACCCATGCTTATCTCTCCAGTCTCATCTGCTCTGCCTTTTATCCCAGCTGAATTTAAGGACTGAATTCCCAGTGTTTCCTGCTCCTGAACATCCCTGTGCCTTTGCTTCTCATATTTATCCTACTTTGCATGCCCTTACCCACTTCATCCATCAGACTGACCGCTACTTCTCCTTCAAATATCATTTTACTTTTGTAACAGTTTCATGGCCGCATTTCTCTCCCTCACCCACCACAATGGGTTAGGTGCCCATCCTTAAAATGAACTGTCTTTACTACCACAACCCCATGTTGGCCGTTCTCTTATAGTATCACATTTCAAACTCTATTAAAATTATTGACTTTCCACTCACATAGCTCTTTACCCCTAAATTATCTCTACTTTTGTGTTCTTGAATTTTTTTTGTGCTTTTTAAATAACTTTTTTACTGTTATTAGTGTTCTTAAGTCCCTAATGTTCTTTTCTTAACCTGCTAATTAGTTGCAGTATTAGAAAATAACCACATGTATATCAATCTGCTCCAGTTAAGGGCTACGAATAAAGTTTGTGGAGTCTTCCTCTGGGTAAATAAATTATACTTTAGGTTTTGTGTTTAGGCTGGTCAGGTGTCTTATCTATGACTACTCATAGTCATAGATCATTTCTAGAATACATATCTGAAAACACTTTTTCTCGATGAAAGTGAGAAATTGTTAAAACATTGTATATTAAGAATAAATAAAATTTCTGTGTATACTTACTATATATATACATATATATACTATAGTATATATACTATAGTATATATATAGTATATATACTATAGTATATATATAGTATATATATAGTATATATACTATACTTACTTACACTTCATCATCATGAAGTTTCCTGAGTTGAGATCCTTTCTGTCTGGAAAAGTAGATTTTATTGAATGGGTCATACAGTTATTTGATATTTCATAATCTACAGAGTAAAACATAGTCATATGTCATTTTGTGTTGTCTGACCTGAACTAAGAATGAAGAGTGCTGGTTAATATTCTACCCTAGTTAGCTGATATGTACCATTAACATCCTTGATAGATGATCATTTTGCAAACAAATAAAAATATAAAAAATAAGACCAACATTAAAAGGAGATTGGGCACTTTTAAAATAGTCCATGAATATTCAGATGGAAATCAAAAGCATAATATAGTGTGCAAACATTTCTGCAGTTTTAAAAGAAAATATGCACACATACATCTCTGGCATTTACAGTTTATGTAATTTTGTTATAGTCATTTCTCCTTTCTGAGTATTAGATTTCTTCCTTCTAAAAAGAAGATATGAGATAATATAATCAATACCATCTCAGTCTTCAGTCTCTGATGGTTTTATTAGGGCATGAATTTGCATATCCTGAGAGACTTTATTTTGGATAACACTTGCTATTATATTTGTAAATTTTCAGAAGGTCTAGAAAAGAAGGAGGA